CCCTTCTTAAATAAGTCAATATTGTCCTACTGCTCGCCCAAGAATAAACTTCCCGTGGGCAGCATGCCCAGAGCAGCAAACCCAGGGGCTCGGGGGGCCAGCGGGACCCCCTGGCCATGCCCGGCAGCACCTTTCCCTCTGCAGGGGGAGAGAGGCCAACCCAAGAACCACGGTGCGTCGGCACGAAGCTCCGGCGTGGCCGGTGGCTCACGGCACTGCCTCCCAACCCACCTGCTCCTGGGAGGAAATTAGTAACCCTAAAGGGGAACTAAAAATGGCTACCTATGCTGGAGGAGCCTCTGAAGCCATACTGAGGTTTCACCAGAGGTATCACCTCATGCAGCAGCCCGGCTAATACCAGGGGACGTGCGGATGCCACATGCCAGCAGCGGGGCTGTGCCACCGGCCGCCAGGCAGACAGCTTGTCGTGCCAGGGCAGATGCTGTCAGCGCTCACCGGCCCTTTCACATACAACCGGGAGTAACTCATCTCCATCTGCCTGACAAGAGGGGCCACATTGTTTTCCTAGCCCTGTCTTTAAGTTACATGGGAGCAGCCACCTCGGTCTGGTGCCTATAAAGAGCTGTCTCCGGCAGGAAAACATTACGCTGCACAAATCTTCGGGAGGAAAAAAGTCATTATGGTTTTTGTGGTATTTATCAGATGTTCAGAAAAAGCCTGATTTCTAGAGCAGGTGCTCCGAAGGGGAAGGAGTAAATACAAAGCATCATTAGCCTCGCACTTCCACCTCGTGGTCACTGCAGTGCAGGGGACCAGTGCCCCTGCCTCTCCCCAGCCCATGTCGGTGCCCATGCTCACGCCTCCCTGCCATAAAAATACATGTGAACAGGAGAGAAACCCCTGCCCCAAGCTCCTGCCCAGCCTGCCCAACAGCTCCCATGAAGGGCATCCCCCGGGGAGCACCCCGGGGCTGCTCCGGGTGGGCAGGGATGCCCCGCAGCCGCGTGTGCCCCGGGATGTGCGTGGGTCCGGCTGCCAGCCCAGGCAGATGTATTGTGCCACATGGAGATGAAGGGGGGAAAAAAAGTGGGAGAAAACACCCTGCTTTGGTGGTAGGGTTTTTTATGCACTCTGCAGAAAAGCTCGAGGATTTTGCAGCACAGAAGGCTGAGCTATTTTCCAGCCTGAGCCGGGAGGGCTCTCCCCCGCAGGCGTGGGCTGCTCTAGAGGAAAGCCTCAGCTCTGCGGCTGCTGGTTGGAGCGTCGCGAGGCGTGGCCTGCCATGCTGGTCCCTCGCAGGACTCCCTCTCTGTGGCACCCTCCCTGCACAGCCCACGCAAAAGGGGGTTTGCTCCCAGCTCTTCTTTTTGCAGCTGGCCCCGATGAGGGGGTCCCACGCACACACCTGGGACAGGAGCTGGAGGCTTCCCTACCCTTCTCAGTTTTCCTGTATAGGGGCAACCCCAAATTTCTACGCATGCATCCACCTCCTCCAGCCCCTGCCCAGCCCAGCCGCTGCAGGGGTGACACAGGCAGTGAAACCCCCACAGCCAGGGTGCCTGTGGAGGAACAGGGCCATGGGGATCCCCCCAAACTGAGGTCAGGGACTCCCACCAGTGCACGGCCAGGAGCGAGATGGGCTCCCACCCTCGCTCCTGCAAGCGCGGGGGGAAGCGAGGCTGGCATCCCCGGGCGGGTGGCAGTAAGGAGCCTGCCACCCCGCAGGCTCCAGCCGAGCGCCGTTGGGTGGGAGGAAGCTTCCCAGAAGACGGAGAGCTAAATAAAGGCAAGGCCTGGAACAACCCGGGGCTGCCAGCTATTTATGCTAGCATGCCTGTGTGCTGCAGAGAAGGAGAAAGATATTTTAAAGCTGCTGTAAGGAAGCTTGTCTGTCTGGCTGCATTTGTTGATCAAAAAAATCTAATTACCAACCTTCCCCACCGACACCTCCAAGCCCTGCATCACCTTCAGCCAAATCTTCCTAAACCCACCTCCCTCCATCAGTACTACACTGAAGCAGACGCTTGGAAAAAAGGCTTTAGCGTATACAGAATAGTAAGAGCTTGGAGAGCATCCCCATCCTGCTCTCAATTTACTTCTGGCCAGCCCTAATGAGAAATTTCTAACCAGCTTTTAGCATCCAAGGTTCACCCTTCTCCACTCAGACCCTCATAAGCACTTACCCTTCTGGGCTTACAGATCTCATCTCCTATAAAAAAAGCACACCCCCGCCTCCTATTAAAAAGCAACCACTGCAATCTTTGTTCTTGAATATGTATTTTTTACTGAAAAAATCATTCATAAATTAACAAATACAAAAATGTACAAACACATGGGTAAATAAATGTAATGACACAAAGGATTGCTTTGCTGAGAAGTGTGTGTGTTTTAAAACACTAGTCTTCAGTGCAAAAATGTCCCCCTGGCACCTCTTAAAAACATAACAGTAAGCTCAGAAGCCATGATGATGGACAGCTACTTTAGAGTTTAAAGCCACTTCTGATGGTGAGCGACCCAAAGCGCGTGGCTGTTGCTCAGACAGTACCTCCGTTAGAGAAGCAGAGCTTTACAGGTAATTAACTGTAAATAAATAGTTTTGCAAATAAAACCCACATGGCTCATTTTAAAAAAAAAAAAAAAAAAGAGAAGAAATCAGCATCAAACAGGACCTGCCCTCCAGCGGGGCTGACCGATGGTGTTGACGTGGAAGGGGCGAACGAGTGGCCTTGTTGAATTTCAGCTGCCAGAATATGTACAAGTTCTCCTTAATACGAGAATTTTTACACCATAACAGCACATGCGCCTGACAGTATGTTTTTAACAGTTACATTTACTATACAGTATTTGACATAGCTGATAAGATTAACAGTGCACATTTTCAGATATTCCACATTTTAAAAAGGGAAAAAAAATTCAACATGATTAGAACAAAGGAACTATGAAGAGGGATGCTGCTGGGGGGATGGACCCTTTTGTGCCAACCGTAGAGTGCATTTCTGAGCAGAGGTAACGGCTTTTTGTTCAACGCAAGGTGCGATGGGCGTCAGGTACACATTGAAGGCTGAGGATCCCGACTAAGGTAGTTTAACACCTACTCACAGACACATGCATGATTCCTGGGGTAGTGAACTTGGACTAGTTGAAATACATTCCTTGTTTGAAGCACCATTAAACAAAGACAGATTTCTAGCAAGGTCTCAAGATGAAAGAAAAGAGGGGCAGGGCAACGCGGGTTCAGCATCTGAAAAGGGTCCACGTGAATTAGAGATCAAGATTCGGAAGCAAGAGTCTTTATTGCTATATGCGCCATAAAAAGCAAATCCTCACCTCTGCCTATAAATAACCAGGTTGAATCCCCTTGGGAAGCAAGTTTAAAGCACATGTAAGTTCAAAGACTTTAAACCTAAGTTACAAACTTATCAGCGCTTTTCAAGGGCAGGCTCGCTGTCCTCTCATACCGGCCGATAAGATCTACACAACAAGAACTCGTGTTTTCTAAACTAACGTTTTCTGGATACAGGTTAGGAATGCCCTGGGCAGTCACACCCACAACAGATGCGTATGGGGATCATACGTCCATGGAACCGAGAAAACAATGTAAACCATGAGAAGTTAAGGAAACCGAAGGCAAACAACGCAATAAAAAGAAAGTTAAAGTACTTCGCAGGTTAAGTACCCACTGTTGTTATGTATAAATACAAATTAAAAAGCAACCCCCAATGTATTTACTTTTAAGTCAGAGAGGTCCAGTAAAAGTGACTGTGTCGGTGCTGTGTCAGGACTGGACTGACCGTGGGTGGGGAGGAGAGCCCAGAGCCCAGCCTGCCCACCGCCGCCGTGGGGAAGGAGGGGATGCCAGATGGGAGCAGGGAGGGGGCACCCAGTTTGGATGGGGCATCAGACCAAGCTCTGTGGTTCCCAGTCCTCATTTTTTTCACGAGCTTGATTCATGTGTCCTTCATTTCTCTCACTCTCACTAACCTGCCCCACCAGCTGGGCTTGTGCAAGTGGTGCCGAGCACCGATGGCGATAACCAAGTGCACTACCTGGCTCCGAATGACAGCACTTCAGTGTGCTGCTAGATTTACACAATACATACAAAATAAAACAACCTCCCAAACCATACCGTCACATTATAGGAGTGACGGCAGGGTGCTGCCGGTCCGGGGCAGGCTCGGTGCGGTGCGGCCAGCTGCCCCATCCCGAGGACGGCACATGGGCAGGAGCAGCTGACCTGGGGCTGCACTTCCCGCAGCAGCGTGGATGCGAGCTCTTGAGCAATCTGCCAACCTCGCACTTGCCATCAGGATATACAGCAACAGGCAAGGGATTTTATTCCATATGGCTTTTGGATTTGTTTGCACATCATGTTTCAAAAGTGACAGAAAGGGGAGTTTTTCCATAAATATTCCCATTTCCTCACTCTCCCTGGAAAAAGCCACCCCCGTGGTTTCTGGAATGAGTGATGACACAGCTGTATTTCTCATCTGCTACATTGGAAAGTTTAGGGCCCTGTCCCACAAACATTTCTGCATATGCACAGTTTAAATCATGCAAGCAGTCTCACTGGCTTAAAAGGGAACACCTTGCACAAGTACAGTGATGCACACACAAGTGTTTACAGAATTCAGGACTAAAATGAGTGACCATATGTAAACCTCTAGCTTGGATTTGAGCCATAGGAGAAAAATAAAAAGGGGCAATTTACACAGCATATTTACACTTACACTTCTTTAAGAAGCGATTCTGTTGTATATACTTCAAGCAGGTCATTTAAAAAACCGCACAGACATAGAAGAACGATATCAGAAGTCGTTTGATCTCCCACCAGGGCCAGTCGCCAACCGAATCACTCCCGACGTTCGTCATTGGGAAGCCAGAGTCCCTCAGCTGAGCCACTTCTTGGAGGAGAAAGCGCATCCGAGGCGAGTCCCGATGCCAGAGATTGCTGGAGGAGGAATGTGGAGACAAGAGCAGCAGGTGGAACCATTGTCCTGAAACCCAGAAAGCAAGTGGCGGAAAAAAGAAAGAGACTGCTGAGCTTGCTGCATGAGTATCGGGCTGGATTGGTACAGCTAGGGCAATTTGTGCGTGCACTTTCAGCCTTATTCTCCAAAATACTGTGATCCTTCATTAGACAAAGTGTTGCTTGTCCTCGATAACCCTTGGAAAAGAAAGTCTAGCATGGTGCTTTCTTGGTGAAGGGCAGAGCAAAGTTATTTTCTCCTCTTAATATTCGGTCACCAGAGCCAGCTCCGGTGTCAGGTTAACAGTGATGTTCTTATACAAGGCGTCATACGTGACGTTTGGAAAGTAGTTCAAATTATTGAGGCCGTCCAGGGCTTGCCTTTCTTTCGACTTCCTCAGCAAGGCATACCTGTGCAACGAGAACCAGAGGCCAGAGTCACTTCCACGTATCCCACAGAGCCCTGCAAAGCCCACCCAACATGACTAAAACACCCTTAAAACAGCCGGTCCCATCAGCAGCTACAAACAACACATTTCTGAACCCTTAAGAAAGATGACCATCATTTGTTTCTATTTGTTTCTATTTGTTTCCTGGCAGGTAAACATCCCAGACCTCACAAAATTACAGTCCACCGCTTGATGAAGAGCAAAATGCTCTCTGTGCCACCGGGCAGCCCAGCAAGCACGCAGCGGTCAAAACAAGCTGTAACTCCTGCCCAAAGCCTGTGGGTCCCGATACCAGGAGGGGGCTGAGCTCAGCGGGGTCCTGCCAAGCCCTCACCAGGATGTTTTGGCTGGAGAAAACCAGCTGATGGGTGATGTGGTCCTTTCCATTTTTAAGAAACTGGACCACAAACAAGGGCAGAACTAATGGTTTTAGTCTGAGGGATGGGGGAAAAGGAAGTAAAACTAGAAGAATGATGGTTTGGGGAAGGAAACTGCAGCTGGTGCACAAAAACAGCCTCAACCAAATTTAGGGGCAGCATGATGAGATAAAAGGGCTAAGGTGGGAGGGAAAAAATAAAGTATAAGTAGAAACAACTCAGCAGGACAGGATGCTGACTTTCTGGGGACCTGGCAGCACCGGGGCGAGTGAGTGGGAGCTGGGCTGGGACCTGGGGACAGAAAAAGCACCAGGAAAGGGATGTGCTGGGAGGAAGACCGGGTCAAAGCAAGGAGGGACGTGCCAAAACTGGCTTCAAAGAGGTCTCAGCATCAGGAGATGGGCAGGATACTTAGTGTCTTGATGAACACTTTCCTTCTCCACAGTGAAAAGTGTCAGGTCCCCCTGCTCCCTGCTTGGGTGGGAGAAACAGCAGGGCTTTCAGATGGCAGAGTTAGTGCTTGCCTGTGGGTAAGTGCAGAGCAGAGGGAAGCAGAGATTTCGGAGGCGGGACGCAGAGGATATCCATTGCTAAGCCTCGCCTAGGCTGGGCATCGGGCTCCAGACGCAGCAGTGCATCCAGGACTGCTCAGCAGCACGGGTATCAGCCTCACCGGGGCGAACCACTGCCTTGCTCACCTTCACCACAGACCCCCCCCTCCCGCAGCACTGACCCACAGCTCCTGCTGACATTGAACTAGGGAGGAGGTCAGGGAAGCGTTAGGAACAAGAGCCCAATCCCACTGCACTTCCAGCCTTCCACGCTTCGAGGGTTTGACTAAATATGGCTTTTTAAGCCAAAACGGACTTAGCTTTTTCAAGAGTGAAACAAGAGAAGCATCTCTTACTGGCTGCATTCTGTCTGACAGAGAAAAGAAAACTAGAGCTAAAGATGACATAGCCTCAAATGGAAACTCCCACAAAAATCAGTCTTCTGTAAAAAGAGACCAGCAGATAGCTCAAATGGTATCTGCAACACAAACCCTCCTTGCTGCCCCTTCTGCCAGCAGCGGCCAGAAGCCCCTCTGCAGAAAAGAGCTTGCACTGTCCAGCAGCTCATCACCTATGAGTGTTAATTCCTGCAGCTGTCTGTGAAAAAGGTATTTCTCTGGTTTTCTGTTGCATAGTTTTCAGAAGACTCAAATTCCACCAAGGTCCCCTAGCAAAAGCAGCCATTCGACCACCCCTCATATTCCCCAAAACAACCCTGGCTCCTGGAGAAAGGGGTTGGAGTCCTCCTGGAAAGCTTCAGGGAGAACTTAGCTTTTTGAGAAAAAAGACAGTGTCCACTACCGAATAACACCACTGCAGGGGGACGTTGCTTCTGCAACAGCAACTGCCTTGGTAGTGCAAAGCCAGGGTGTTGCTACTGGACTTTGTTAGTGTTCCCAGGGACACCTGACGCTTTAGCAGCCACACTCCAGGAGAGCCCCCGTGCTCTGCCTTCTGCAGCCTGAGCAGTGCCTCCTTCCACACTTAGATCAGGCTCTTCTAGAAACATAGAAGGTTGTCTGACATCTGGCATTAACCACCCCTTTAGGAGATACAGGACAGGCCCCCAGCATGCCATGCTGACAACCCCCTCTTTTGGATGGCATCCAAGCAGCTACAGCCCCACGCAAGGGCTCATCGTCGTAGGGATGCAGGGTATAAAATGTAGGGATGGAGGAATCCAGGCAGTGCTCTGCCTCCATCTCCCCGCAGTTAGTTTCCTTCATGACTTAAGGCTGTTACTGCCCTCAAACAGCTGCAGGGAGCCTTGTACATGGTACAGACTCTTTGTGAAGGCTTTTGGGATTCTTAAAAGATAAAATTTACTTGCCTTCCTAGGAACTGCACTTCTCCCCGATGATGGTGGGGAATTGATTTGTATTTCCCTGTGTCACCTTCTGGTCGAGTCACCGAGTAGCCTGCATACTGCACTCTGCATTAGAAAGGGAAGAAATAAAATAAATTAAAAAAAAAAATCAACCGTTGCATTTGCTGTGCCATCAGCGCTTGCCAGGGCTGCACAGTTAGTGCGCTTGGGGCTCTACAGCAGCTTTGCCCTTCCACCCAGCAGATAAGCTATGCAAACCTCCCCACTCCAGCCTGGGCTCCAGGTAAGTCCCGTGGCACTCAGCACCTCAAGGCTTCAGAAGCTCAGCCGAGACCAGTTTGAACTCAGCAGCTGTGATATTGCACACAAAGCCAATAATTTCCCAACCAGCGTTTCTCTGCTTGCTTCCGACCTACTGTGTGTGCAGGCTGGAGCGGCCCCCGTTCCCACCGAGCCACCGCAGCCGGGCTGGCTCTTGCCCAGCCCAGGTGAAATGGGTGCAGAAAGCCCTGCGCCAGCTGCAGAGGTGACAACGCTCCCCCCCGCAGCACGTGCAAAGCTTGGCTCCCAGAACCACCATCAGCAGCAGAGTTCAGGGATGCCGACTGAGCCCGTACCTGTTCCAGAGGTCATCGTCTTCACCACCCCAGCCCCAGAAGGCATTAGGGAAACCGTTGATCTTCTGAAACTGCTCGACAGTCAGGCCACTCACCCCACCAAAGAACTCGTTGTAAGGGAGCCTAAGCGGGAGATAAGAGGTTAGGGCAGAGCCTGCCAGCGCTGCAGCTCTCCCACTTGCTATGGGGAAAGCCTGAGCTGTGAGGATGCTTTCTTCTATTCCCCTCTCATGCTCACTTTGCACAAAGCCTGAGAAGCAAACCAAGATTCATCTTCTGCCTTTTAAATAAAATAACCTAACACTGGCTCCCTAGCTATTATTGTAGTGCAGAGGAAGAACAGTGCTTACAGGTACATGTACTTATCCAGCTTGGCTGCAAAGTGCCTCGGCATCTGTCCACACCCATAATAGTTACGGTCATTTTCTGGTATGTGGTCCACATCGTGAAAGATGAGACAGTCCCAGTCCAAGTCCTTCATTGCTTCCCGAAAGCCAACATTGAACAGCATGGCACGGTTAAAGGGTTGGTTTCCAGCCTAAGAGGGAGAAAGTTCCTTCTCAAGGGGAGCCCCGTGCAGCCCGTGCTCTGCGTGGGCATTCTCAGTCTAGTTTAGAAAACTGCGGAGGGCAACCAGCTCCCACATTGGTGCCGCAAAAGGAAATGATGTATTGGAACAGACTAGTGAGATCAACCAAGACTTAAATATTCAATTTACTGTGCAGAAGCAAAAATAAATATGCTAAAGTCTTATTACTCAGACACTTGGGAAAAAAAAAAACAAAACAATTTTGATCAATCTTTTTAAGACAGAGCTAAATACAGAGGTACATTTACTGGGTGGATCAAGCCAGATATCTTAAGTGACAGATTCACATCGAATGAGAGTCTTATGTTTTACATTCATGAAAGCCTTCTAGATACTGCCCAGACAAGAAATGCGTAACTCTGGTCAGGCCACTCCTGGGCCTAGGGGATGTTCCCCAGAGCCACTACAGAGATAAACAAAAATAACGAAGTGTTATTTAAACTGCAAATACTTGTTTCAAAGATGACTTTTTAAAAAATATTTCCTCCAATACAGATTTTTTTTTAATTAAAAAATTGAATCTCTACTTTTATTTTTTAGATAAAACCAAGTCATTTTTGGGCATACCTCTCAGCTGTACCACTTTTAGGCAGAATGAGACAACTTAAACATTGCGATCTGAACCCCAAACCTTTAAATGATGTGTTCTGGTAGGTAAACGCCTTGGGACACAGAGCAGAGATACACTTGCAGCTTTGGCTGCAGCTGAAGCTCCAGCAGACACATTTTTAGTGCAGCACGTCCGTGACCCAGCGGCTGCTGCCCCGACCGCCCCAGGGCTCACTCACTTGTTCCACAACGTAAAAGGCGAACTGTAAACGTTGCCGCTGCAGCATGGGGATAAGGTGTCTGAAGAGGACGGGAAGATGCTCGTATCGATTGCGGAATGGGATCAGGATTGCCACCTGACAGGGAGAGGACACAGCTCTTACTGCACCGCACCAGCGGCTCCGGCCGCTGACCGACCCCTGGGCTGGGGAGCAGGACTGGCGGGTGTTATGAGGGGGAGCAGCACTAAACATGGTGTCTCGGCTCTCCCATGTAGGGCTGAGCAGCCTGAAACCCTTCCAACCCCCCCAACATGGATTCCCTATTAACTTTTTGAGGGATTGTTGCTTTGGGGAAATTCAACGTAACCTTGAGCGGGAGGGAGACCTGCAGCCCCCCCGTCACTGCCTCCGCCCAGTGCTGGGGACAGCAGGAGCGGGGCCAGGCCCTGCTACCACACTGCCCTAAGCCACCTCCCGCTGGGGCTGCAAGTCCCCAGCAGTGCCACCTTGCCTCTCTGGGTCACATACTACCCAGGACAGGGTGGCAGGCAAGTGGGTTGCTCGGCAGCTGGGGAGCAGGCAGGCACGCT